AAACAAAGATATAGGATGGTGTCATGTAGCTGTGTGTGCAACTTTGCTGTGTAATGACCCCTTGTTTGTTGTTCGTTTTGGTGCTTCAAGCCATCCCTATATCCCCCTTTCATTTTGAAGAATGATTTTTTCCACTTGTATAATAATTGTCGAGCGCGTAGCGTGAGGCAACTACCCCGGGTTGTATTCTCGCGAATGCGTACGTGTCGGTCAAGCTTAAGAATGTCAATTAGTCACGCTTGGGGAACGTAAATTAGTTACGCTTAGGTATGTCGACGTTCCTGTCAGTCTAGCTTCCGCCGTGCGCCGCGCGCAGATTCGTAGGAAGTCTGGCTTCGCGCGCAGTCAGTAGAGCGCGCGAACGAGCGGACTGTTTACGCACGCATTGGCTGGCAGGCGCGAGGCAAGATATGCGCGTGCGCATTCCTAGTTATATATAATTATACTCATAGAGGTATGTCAGCCACCTTGTGTCAATGGAGTGTGCAACGTCAACACTGGATACTGTGATTGCTCTCCTGGATATACTAGTGCCTCATGCAGTGAAGGTTAGACATTTAAAAAACACATGGCATGGCATCCTACCAGATCACCAGATATATTGGAGTGCAAAGACGAAAATGGAGGCTGTGACCAGATCTGCACTGACTTTCCTGGTGGCTACAGCTGTTCATGCAAAGCAGGGTTTACTCAACTTACCTCAGATGGAAGCTCTTGTAGTGGTATGGGAACTGACTGATATGATAATCCTAAGAGTATCCTCTAAATGTTTGTGTGCCTGGTGGTGCACTCATTGTGGATGCAGATATTGATGAGTGTGGAGAAGGGAGCCATGACTGCAGTCAGATCTGTGTCAACACTCCTGGATCATACTACTGCAACTGTCACCGTGGATCTCAGCTAGTCAATGACACCCACTGTGAAGGTACTGCTTCATGTCCTTTTTTGTGAGAGCGCATGCATAATTATTGTCATAGCTACATCATGTATCAACCGCAGATGTGAACGAATATGAACTATTTCCTAATGAGTTCTGCAGCCAATGTGTCAACACCGATGGATCTTTCCATTGTGAATGTAGAGAGTACCAAGTACCAGCACCTTTTCTGTCCAGTATCTGTGACTGTGTGTGCCAAACCAAGCATTTGGGCTTTTGAATCTTTTGTATCCAGTAAAACCTCTGATAAGGGACAATCCGAGGTAGGGACAACCTCTACAAAGGACACTTGTTTTAACCCCATGCCCATATTTTAGTGTGTTATGTGATCTCCAAGATAGAGACAACCTCTCCACAAGGGTCTAAATCGTCCGTCCCATAAGTGCCCCTTGTTCAGAGGTTCCAACATTTTACCCGACAGAGAGTCATATCACTAAGTACGGTAGTACTTAGTATACAAGTGGAAAAATCATTTCTTCAAAATGAAGGGGGATGTAGGGATGGTGTAAATTATGAAAAAGGATGCCAACAAGAAGATGCTTCAGCCGACAACAAAAATCGTACATCCATCCCTACATCTTTCTTTTGCTCTGTATAAAAAATGTGTGGTTACTTGTCATAGAGTATGTAAGATACATTATTCACAACATAATTATCACAGTAGAGGTTGTGACTGTAAAGAAAGATGTAGGGATGGATGTACGATTTTTGTTGTCGGCTGAAAGCATCTTGTTGGCATCCTTTTTCATAATTTACACCATCCCTACATCCCCCTTCATTTTGAAGAAATGATTTTCCACTTGTTCCAGTTATTTTTTTGCGCATACTCAGCCCCACCCTTTTCGGGCTGCAGAGCGAGGGGGAGGGGCTGCTGCGGAGCGCACGGCGCGCGGGCCCCTTACCAGCGCGGCCGGGTGACGTTAAAATTTTTACGCACTTGCGCGCGCCTCTCGCGCGTAGCGGGCGCATGCGCAAGTGAGACATCAACATAATGAAGTGATTTGTTGTGCAAGGAGTTCACTCTTTTGAAGAGGTCTACCCAGCTGAAGTCAAAGGTGGAGGCCAAAGAGCGTAGTGGATGTGTAGTAGAAGCTTGTAGGGTCCAGGTCTGACAAGTGCACAGCACCTTAGAACATAAAGATGGTATGCACCAATAAAAGAGTGAGGAATGCAACCCAAATTATAGTATAGAAGGCTAGGATAGGGTTTTACAATAGCTATGTCAGCAGTGGTGATAAGGGCACAGGGTGTGTAAAGTCAGCATGGTGATAAGGGCTGGGGAAAACACTTCAGAGCCCCACCTGCTAAGGCCCCTGATAAGCTGAGTACCTTCCTCTGACAGGTCAGCTATGGTTGAGACCCAGTGCCCCTTAGACAGAAGATCACAGCCTTTAAAGACCTGCAGAGGTAGAAAGCTTCCCAGGGGAAAACCAGATAATATATATGTAGTTGTAAGAAAAGAGGAGCCTATAAATAGTAACCACCTTGTTCAGAATACTATGTGAAGGTGCATGTAGGAAGGGTGCTGATATACTGCATACAATAGTTATGTGCACTGATGTTTAGGTGAGTAGTGTGTAGCTTCAATGTAGTAGTACCCCGACAGGCATAGCTACTGACTGTAGAGTGCACTCCTCAAGGGAGGAGGATAATATTCTGTCAGAGCTAAGACCAGTCTCCTGAGGGATTACTCACTACTGTTGGCATACAACACAATTGTCAGTGTACAGACATTCACCTCTAACAGTGTGCTACCCCAACTTTGTGATGCAGTTACAGTCCCCTAAAACTTTGTGGTAAAGACAGTGCAGTTTCCCTACACTTGAAACCAGTCAGCTCCATGAAGTCTGAGACTTTAGGAGGGTGGTTAGAACATGAAATGGGGAAGCCACCTCAATAAATTGCAGGGACCCACCCTCTCCTTCCCCAACATGCTCAGAGAGCCCATGTATAGTCTATATGAGCACATGTGGCTTCTTTAAACTCTTCCTTATAGAACCAACAACATTAAAGTGGTTTCCTGTGTGCAATAGATACATAGACCTCTGGTGAATGTCATCCATCAGTTGTCTGTCGACATCATGAGGAGAGTACCGCTGCCACTGCCCATGCTGCTGGCTGTATGAGAAGACAGGGGTCTGGAGCAGGTGTGCCAAAGACAGCATCTCAATGTCAGTTCCCCAGGTGCCATCTTGGTCCATACCTGTGGAAGCTATATAACTTTGAATACTGTCATAGCCTACGAGATGGTGGCCTAGGAAATATTGGGCATTATTTGTCATGTGGTCAAGGATAGCATGTCGTACACCAATATGCTGATCTGCAGACCCTGTCAGAATGTAAGAAAATGCTCGAAAGAGGCAGTTACCATCTCCCTGTACGCGTCTCACACTACGCATGTCTGGACGTGTGAGGGGGACAGCGGGTCCTCCTGGTCTTACTGGTGTTTGTGTACAATATTGGAGGCCCAGCTCTTGGCATGCACTTTGCTGCCACTGTACATCTACAGAGTGGAAATTGAAAGGACTAGCAGCAGGTGTTTCTGTACCTGTAATAACACAGTCCTCATTATCCCTTGCAGATGAGGGATTCACCTTGACCTTTTTTACACTTGGGGAAACAGTTTTGTCTACACCAGTGAGCTTCCTCTTTCTTTTAGAGATGTGTGGTATATCATACAGAGGAAGATCAGGTCTATGGGTTTTTCTGAGGCGGTTTACTTCCCCCAGGGAACTCACACTAACACTGATGGACTGGGGATCAAAGGCTGTTAGGAACAGACCATCTAGTGACCTAACCCTGGATAGAGCCACATATGCCATTCCATCACTGAATACCTCCTCAGACAGGTCTACTATGGCACAGTCTAATGACAGACCCTGACACTTGTGGATGGTAATTGCATAGGCTAAAATGAGAGGGAATTGTCTACGATACACATAGAAATTCTTCATCACCATGAACCTGCTTCTGACCTTATCAATCTTACATGGAGCAGGTACATTATCAAACTGCACTGTCACATGCTGGGCTGCTATTGACAGCACTGTACCAATAGCACCATTGACCAGCCCAGCCTTGGTGTCAATGTTGCGACGTAGCATGACTCGTGCACCAACTGCAAGAGACAGTTTGGCTTCCAACCCAGCTGTCATGTTGCAGTCAGCGTTCAGTTTATCCAAAACGCTCAATGATCTTCTTGGTCATCTTCCTATTGCCTGCTGTTTCGTCAATCTCATCAG